AGTGATGACCACTCCCTTAAATAAACTCCTGTTGCGGTATTTGAAAAAATCCGAAAACCGATACCGGAAAAAAATACCGATAATTCCGATATATTGATATTTTTCGTGATTGAATTTTGCTTAGCTAATTTTCTGTTTTCAAATAATGATGCCAAACAACCACGATATCAGTAACAACTTTGACTCCTCGGGTGCGTGATATTTTTACTAAAGTGTGAGGCCAGTGATCAGTAGCCTGTGAAATGTCCGCTTTAAGAATTGAAAATGCATATTACTTATTAGCATTGATTACCGCATCGCCTGAATCATGTGTGATATTTTTGTGACCAGGAAATTATTAGTGTTTCAAAACATTTTATTCAACTGCGAGTTCGAAGCAAAGATCGTCCTATCTCACCAGATAAACAATGTCCAATGAGGTTAGTTTTTGTTTTTCTAAAACATTTGTAATCCACCGTTGTTTACGTTCTAAAAGTTCACTTTTTGATAAGCGAAATGACATATACACCTTGCAACGCCAACGTATAAACAAACACGTTTTAGATCACGCTCTAACCTTAATTTACAGATTTTCCCGCGGAGTTAGCACATTGATCGTCTTTGTCCTTCTGAAATAACTCCAATCAGCGCTTAAAAAGCTTGATATGACGTTTAAATATACAAACGTAAACGTAATATCGATAATACCAAAAAATATCGATATTCCGATATATTGAAAATTTCAATATCGAGTAATCGGTATTTACAAAAAAACGATAATTATCGGTATATCGATATACCGCAACAGCAAGCAAAACCAACAGGCCCAATACAGCAATACTAAATTGTGTTATAGTTAAACAAAACAACATGCTTCTTTACAGTCTCAGGCTTCCAGGCGTATTGCCAGGCATGCAGGCAATAATATAAATAAATTAACACAATCATTACAGGGAAGAAGCGTGCCTGTGAAATAGTTAGAAGGACTTTAGATGGCAATATCCCGGAGGCTTTAATGGATCATTTTGTAATAAAAGATAACGAGAAACACGAAAACCTGCACGAAACCGAGGTTGTTTGATAAACTTACAAACTATAAAATTCGAATATGCGCGAAGAGGATTCTGTACTATTCTTATAGTATGACGTCAGATTATTACATCCCTCCCTTGTTTTGAATGGAGGTTCGTCGGGCATTGTTTATATGAAGTAACTTGACCTAATTAAAACCAATGATCTAAAATGAAGTATATATATTTAGTAATAAAACATAGTTTGTTTAAATATTGTTAGTGCTGATATTCAATGTTTAAGCGTTCTGGAGGTCTCCTATTTTCTCCTGTGGGATAACGCCTAATTTCCGCAGGATGGTCCGGTGTTGGAATGTTGATCTCCTCATCGTCAAAAGGGTCTGCTGCATGATCTTGTTGATGTGTGGTGATAGTGATTCTCTTGAACTGCGAGCTGTTTCTTGTTATGTAGCTGGTTGCGTTTCTTGCCGTACGTTATCATACTACCTTTGATCTTGACGATAGCGTATGGATGTTTGTTGTACGGTGAGGATAGTTTATTGACGTGTTTTTGACGAACGAGAACAGTGTCACCAACTTGAAAGCTGTGTGGTTTTGCTTTGGCTGCGGTATCAGCATACTCTTTCATCTTTCCCTTCTTTTTGAGATCGATATCGGCGAATTGTGAGCGTGATGGTGACGTGGGGACTACTTCCGGTAACTTGACGGTTAATTTTCGTCCAAAGAGGAGCTCTCATATTTTTCATATTTTATTAAGATAAACCGACATTGTAACCGTAGGTTAAATTGCATCGGTTTTTACAATATAAAACTACATGTTTACAATAAAAATTAACTACTTGATGTTTACAGTAAGAATTTTAAAATACAATAGATTTATTTACTATTTTCTCTTCGTGGTAAAAACGAGCTTTTAAATCTGTCCGTTTTACATAAAAAGTTTTTATATTTACATTTTGACCTCGTGTCGTAATCTAACGAGGTTTTACAGATCAGGTGTTCGTAAACTTTACTGTCACTTTGGTCACATAGTTTATCGCGTCTTGTTTTGAGTAACGGGAGGTCGGTCAGTTCACGTGACTGCCTATAGCTTAATGAAGGCAATGTGATTCTTAGTGCGCGTTTCTGGATTTTCTCAATCTCATCACTTAAGTATTGCTGAATATTAAAATGCCAAACTTGGCAGGCACATTCTAAGATAGGTCTTATGATGGAAGTGAAAACCGTGAGCAATATCTTCAAATTGGCGTTCGATCTTTTTAAAATTCGAAGCATGTACAGTCTTTTTCCAGCTTTCCTAACAATTTGGCGTATGTGGTCGTTCCAATTCATATTATCTTGAAAGGTAGTTCCGAGGATGCAAGTAGATTCTACGCGTTTCACTGGTACGTCGTTGATCAGTAGAGGCGTAAAGTTCCGTTTTTCTTTGGAAAAGTCCATGACCATTTCCTTACATTTATCTACGTTGAGCTTCATATTGTTTGCGATAATCCAGTTATAAATATAGTCCACTAGGTCTTGGAGGTTACTGTTACAGTGAGGTGGGATACTTTCGGTGACTGTACAGTTGTCGACATATTTCCATCTATCAGGCCATTCACTAAGTAGGTCGTTTATCATGATAAGGAAGAGAACAGGACCCAAAACTCTCCCTTGAGCTACTCCTCCATTTACATTGCGCCAATCCGACAAACAGTTGTTCAGTTTTACTCGTTGTTTACGTCCTGTAAGAAAGCTTTGAATCCAGTCTATTATAGTTGACGGTATGTTCATATCAGACAGTTTCTGCTGAAGAATAGAATGGTCAATACGGTCGAATGTCTTCGAGAAGTCAAGAAGGAATACTCTTATGGCACTCTTTGCCGCGTCTTTCTCGCTTAGTAGATGATGTACGAGACTTATTAAGTTGTGGGTTGTTGAGGTGTTTTTAAGTGAACTAAACTGTCTTTCATCTATTTTTTCTTTGATCGAATCAATTAACCAATCGGCAACAAAACTTTCGCAAATTTTTGAAAGTGTAGGAGCGTGGTATAGGGCGTAAGTCGGTACTTATATCAACAGGTACTGTTACTTTTGGGATTGGGATGACGTCAGCTCTTTCCACGATGTAGGAACGTGCGCTTGCTGCAGCGAAAAAAATTGAGGATATAGGTGAATCTAAGACGTGGGCGTACTCCTTGAGCACCCAAATTGGTGTTTCGTCAGGGCCAGATGATTTTGAAGAGGATATAGTAATTAATTTTTTGTATATGCTTTCTTCACTGATAATATACTCAGGGAGGGTAAGCTATTGACTACTTTCAATCTGGGTCTCAGTGGGGGGTTGTTTCAAGGGGGACATTTCTTGAGTAGTTGCGGTAAATGCATCGTTAATTTTATTAGCTAGGACTTCTCCGTTGATGATCTCATCATCCCAAACCAGGGAGGAGAAAACATTTTTCTTTTGGTATCCTGCAAGTTGCTTAATGCATTCCCACCACTTTCTAGGGTTAGGACTCGATTTCAACTGGTCCATCATCTTTCGGAGGTAGACAGATCTAAGTTTTGCACATTGTCTATGTGAAAGGTTACGAAGGTAGTGGTACTGTTCGATTTTCCCATCATGGTTTTTGCCTATTTAGGATAATCTTCTTAAACTCAGGTGTTAC